AACAGAGGAAGAGGAAGGCCTCCTCTGCGTTGGAAAGACCAGGTGGAGAAGGACTTGGCTTCACTTGGCATTTTCAATTGGCGTCAGTTAGCACAGAAGAGAAATGACTGGCGTGCTGTTTTGGACTCGGCCAAAATCGCTTAGGCGGTTACAGCGCCAAATAAGAAGAAGAACCACGTTTACTGTCGAAAAATTGAATATTGAGAAAATTTAATGTTTTACAGTTTAATTTACAATCCCATTCTGCCTGTTGTTAGTGTTTAGTGTTGGACAATTTTTTCTCTTAAAATTAAGAAAATTATGTCGAGCAAAAATAAAACTACTCATAAATGCGAATATGTGGTAGATGGTCAAAAAATGGCAGATCTACAACAATGTGGTAGAAGTCCGATCACTGGAATCAGTTCATGTCAGTTCCTGTTTATTCTATGCTAGTAACGATTCAGCGCTGGGCTGCCTCACTGGATTGGCATGCTACTGGAATAATGTAAACGGGGCAATCGAATTTTTTTCGTAGGTCCTATCCCGATATTAATTCCCAATAGCGGCGAAGTAATGGCATCTTGTCGGTTAGCGATGGAATTGTCTTTCAAATGCTAGAAGGATAATTAAGCATAACTGATTGCTTTAGGGTGCGGGGCGAAGCTTTCAAATCAGTGTGTCTATATAAACGTGTTCATACAGCAAGCATTCTCAGAAGTGTTTTTTGGAGCTGATTTGATTTTAAATTTTCCTTTAGATTTTTCAGACTCTTGATGCTGATAAATATGAACAAAAAATTTAAATATGTAAATGAAAATGTATTGTTAGAGCAAGCAATTGCAGCAAATTGAACAAATATTTTGCCTGTTGTCATTGAAGGTAATTTTTGAGATAACTTTACAGCCCGCTTTGTTCAGTGTGAACACCAACAGCCTCCCTTAGCTCGGCTCCGCATAGCTTTCTGTGTGAACATAAACTTATATATTTGTTCGACTGTAAAGCATTTTTAACTGTAGTCAAATTTTGTGTAGTATCAATTTTGCATTGAATTTTTATGACTTAAAGTCATTAAAAATTAAATTGAAATTTTAAATTTTGCATTAAACGTTGTTAAATACATATATTTTTCAGTAAGAATAAGAATTTACTTAGTACAACACAAAATTCTGAGTTTCCAACAATACTCGTATTTTAACTTTCACTGGTCAGGCATAAATGCAACTTTTGTCATTATGAAGCATAACAAATTGCGAAGACACCGCGTAAAAGAATGCGTGAACCTTGTGGAGTTGATAAGAAGAAAAAGAAATCAAGCATGCAGTTTTAGCTGTTCCAGTAGCTATAGACGGAATATAAGGAGCAGAGGTAATATCGTAAGCGATAACAAACGCTCCCTCGGCTTAAAATATAGCCAGAATCAAAATTACGCTTTTCAACAAAACCTTGAAGCAAGTGCAGTTTTTGAAAGGTCCTCGCCTTCGTTGATTTCTTCTGATCGCGCTTCGCAGAAGAACATAGTTCGTAACTATTGTAGAGAACACGACACAAAGATTAACGCCCCTTTAAATCAAAATCTTTCCAAACCGGAATCGCAAGACATTATGCTGCCAGGTAGAACTATAAACCATGATTGCGATGAAGAACCACGATTGCGTGATGACAATGAAAAACCTTTTGTACCTTCCGATGAAGTTCTATCCGCAAAAACGGATATAAGCACACCACAACAAACGCTAAATTCTTACGCTGTATTTGATTTACAACAGTCTAACGAAAATGAAGAGTTCCATTTAATAAACGATGGTTTGATCACTGAAAATACTCCTATTCACAGTCAGTCCAAACTTCAAATTATAGATAACACGTTTATCTCTGAACATGTGTCTAGTAGACAAATAATAACTGATGAAGAAGCCGGTGGCGACGGTCATCATAATAATTCGATCATCGAAATCGAAATAACGCTACATTCTAGCAATGATACCAACTCTGAAGAAGAGGTCGAAGTGGATTAGAATGAACCTGCAATGGAATTCGGCGAATAGCGAAGAATTTATGCGTTTCCCTACAAATGTATGTATATTATAATCTAAAAAGAATTGAAAAGAGCTATACTTAAATGAATTTCAATAATGTCTAAATCACGGGAATTTTAAGTTCTTGCAAATATATACATATGTACTTACACGAAGCACAAAATATTCCTGTTTATTTATTTATAAGTCTACAGGAAAATGTTTTCTTAGTTGCCCACACTCTTCGACGTGTACTATGCCGTGTCTGTTTGACGAAGCATCATATACAATTTACTGTAGATAGAGAGAGAGAGAGAAGCAGTACGGTGGAGTGCAATAACGCCTGGGGAAATAACGCCTATGGGCTTTATTTCCCAAAAAGGAGAGAAATAAAACCCATGGGTGTTATTTCCATTTCGAAGGGGAAATAGCGCCCACCAATAAGAGGCAATAAAGCTCGCGGGCTTTATTTCCTTTGCGAAAGAGCAATAATAGCTGTGGGCTTTATTGCATAAAAAAGGAATAAAGCTTTATTTTACTGAAGCATTTCAATTATGTATACAGGCATACATTTTGCATAAAATGGAACGTATTTTAAGCGAATTGCTCTTTATTTTTGCATACAGTGTAGTTCTGAAGTATACGCATAAAATCGAACGGTATTTTTGCCAATAACTTATAGGCAAATTATTGGAAATTAAAGGTAAATTGTTACTGTTTTTTAGCCTTCAATGCGATGCGCATATTTGTTCTCAGCGTCTTAGGTTTTTCAGTGGTGGCGCGCAAACTTGGACGGTCGCGGCACGTGCGGGCCACCGCGGTTGAGCGCCAACAGGCTCGGTTCCTTCCCTCGCCATTACGCCGGAAAATTTATTTGTAAAATGAGGAGTTGGGGTTGTTTGTGTACCCACGCCGCAGAAATACTGTGGTGATGTGGATGACGCACGGGTTGTTTTAACTGACAAGACGACTGATTTCGCAAACAACAAAAACTAGTAAAGGGCAGAATAAAATAAATCAACCGTGGTCGAGTGGTTTATGTGACATCAAGGCACACACTGCCAAACGGAGGAGAAGCTCGGCCAATCATTTTAAACTTTGCACAAATTGCTTTGCAGAGCACAGTACGCGTACTAATCTAAATGGTAATACAAGCATTTTGTGTCCAATTTGCCTTCAAATAATTCGGCAATCGACGAAAACATTTATTTAACTTTTTACTTTTTCATGTTCCTTTTTTTGTTGAAACTTTGAATTATTTAATTTTCAAACACATGTACATACATACATACATATTTATTAAATATATGCATTGAAATTTGTTAATTTCAATTTCTTCGTATAATAAAGGAAAACAAATATTTAGTTCAATGTTATCATATAAGTTAGTTTGTATTTAGAACAGGGGGTCTTGGATGTACATATTCCAAATTGGAGACAAGAGCCACAATAGAGATGAAATAACGCCCGCGGGCTTTATTTCATTTTTTAGGAAATGAAGCCCGCGGGCGTTATTGCCATATTGAAAGAGAAGTAATGCCTACCGGCAAAAAGCAATAAAGCCCGCGGGCTTAATTTCTTTTTCGAAAACGCAATAACGTCAGTGGGCTTTATTTCCTAGAGAAAGAGGGCGACATGTAAATGAAAACTCACCATCGTGTACGTGTGACTATTACGCGTGACGTGGACTGCTTGGTGGAGTGCAATAACGCCCGCGAAAAAAACGCCCATGGGCTTTATTTCCTAGAGAAAGAGGGCGACATGTAAATGAAAACTCACCATCGTGTACGTGTGACTATTACGCGTGACGTGGACTGCTTGGTGGAGTGCAATAACGCCCGCGAAAAAAACGCCCATGGGCTTTATTTCCTAAAGAAAGAAATAAAGCCCATGGGCGTTTTTCGCGGGCGTTATTGCACTCCACCAAGCAGTCCACGTCACGCGTAATAGTCGCACGTACACGATGGTGAGTTTTCATTTACATGGCGCCCTCATAAGTTTGATGGTGTCAACTGACACGTGAACGTACGCTTACGTCGGTGACTGCTAGCGCCTTTAAGGCGGGTTCACCGTTCGTGTCCGGACATCTTTTTATTTGCTATCAAAACATTTTTGCCGGAGAGGGTGCCGAAGTACGCTTCACCGTTCAGCTCGGCACATTTTATTTTGTCCTGAAGTAAACAGCTGATGATATTGTTGCCTGATTCGCCTCGGTACACATATGTCGGAACTTCTTTTAAGTGAGTGAGAAAGTTTGAGTGTTTGCATTTTATTTCCCTTTCCCCCCTTGAGCGAAGAATAGCTAAAATTTGACATTTGTGTGCCGAAAGCAAAAACATAATACTTGTATAAATTCGCCTTGCATACATTTAGATATTTACAAAGTATACCCAGAGGCAAAATTGGAATGCATTAACTTTTTCTACCAAGAAAAGATTAAAAACTACGGTTGAATGAAAAGATGCATAGCAATATAAGCGAGCGGATTATGTGTATGTTACGGGTTCAAAACCTGTTACACGGACTTTATTTTTTATTTAACAACTACGGTTGAACTTTGCCTCGTAATCAGGGCTGCCAACTTGGCTCAAACCGTGCCATTTTTGGCCCTATTTTACTTCACATGGCACTTAATTTTTAAATTTGACACAAAACGCCAAAATGGCACTTTTGAAATATTTCAATACATTTTGTGAAATCCTTTGCGTGTACTTCTTTTTCTCTACTAAATTTTTCTAATTTCTATAGTGTATACAACTGGTTTATCTTACTTTGGCATTAGACTTTTGTTTTAGGAAAGTGTTTCTAATTTTGATGCTAAATGGAAAGAATTAAAAAGAATTACACCTTTTTTGACCCTTTTATTTTTCTATTTGGCACATTTTGGCACTTTTTTTATATTCAATATGGCACTTCGTAACTAAGTACAGTTGGCAGCCCTGCTCGTAATGTAAGCGAGCGGATGATGTGCAGTTTCGAAGCCACAAACAAAACCAAAAGAACTAACTCAAGTATGTTTTTTTCACCTTATTTCAACAGCTGCTGTAGCCGAATGG